TTATTGGATTAATAAGATTTTAACTTTATTATATTGTAAAACTTAACTTTGCATGCCGAAAACAGTAGGCGATGTATGTGGGACTATTTTTTATAATTATTACTACCTGTAATTACCATACTTCGTGCAAATAAACGTTCTTATTCTTATTCTTATTCTTAAAATAAAAAGAAACAAGTCTTATTTAAAGTTTTTGCGAACGTAGACGTCGATGACGTCGAATTTTATGCGCGATTTTTTGTTACGCAGTGAGCTATTCCAAATTGTCAAATTATTTTAATTAATTTTGAACAATATCTACTACTACTGCAAAATAATTGAAATGTTTAATATTGAATGACAATAAATGATGTTTGTGGAAGGATACAAGATGGCGTTCATAAACAACTTTTTTTCTTATTTTTTTAATTGTTTTTTTTTTATGTCGCAGGCAGCCAGTTATTATGTAACGAGATTTGGCTTCGAGCCTTTGGCGTATAGTGGATTGGAGACTGGTTCAAGAAAAATAGCTTCATATGCCGTCAGATTGAATAAGGTAAACAAGTATTATGATTAGACTGGTAGAATGGACGAGCCTTTGTATGAATTTATTAGTGCGAAATACTTACCTACTGGTTTATTTGTAACATTTATTGTTTTTTGCGTTGTTACGAGATTTATCGATGTAAGAATATAATGTTTTGTTGTGGTTTTCTGTTTCTACGTTATATACAATTGAGCTTATTATTTTTTCAACTAAATTAATTTCGAGTGACTAGTTCCTAGATCTTGCTAAAACAGATCGAAAAATCAAATTGGCGTTTTGCAAATACCTTGTAGCTATCTACTTTATCTATCTGAACACTTTATCAAAATTGGTTTATTAGTTTAGGCCGTTTGAATGCACAAACTCTCTTATACTCTTAAATCTAAGATTTTTTAACTATACAGGTTTCCCCACTCTAGGATATACTTTCGTGTGGATTCTCTAAGGTGCCATTACCTAATTAACATCTACACCCAGATCTAGCCTATATTGTACAATGGTCATTATTCAATTCCTCTTTAATATTCCACAGATAGTCTTCGTATTACAAGCACAATATGAACCAGAAGAAACAGACTTCGCGAACGAAGTTGCGTACCACGGCGACTTCGTGAAGGATGTGGCGTTCCAGGTGGAAAACCTGGACTATATCCTGGAGTACGCTAGGAAACAAGGAGCCGTGGTCGTGAAGGATTTGTGGCAGGAAGAGGATGAATTTGGAGTGGTCAGGATGGCTACTGTGAAGACGGTAAGCAAATGTGGAGAATAGATGTTATTAGATTTAGAATAATGAGTTGGCTGCCTTATTGGATGAATCCTTGCAGTTCTACTGGTCGAAAATATGTTGAAAAACAACCATAAAAATTTTGAGGAAGTGTCAACGTCTGTTTCCTATAATAACTGCTTCTCACCAGGACAAAGTTTAGCTTGTTTACCACATTTATAGTGCAACATTTTAAATCACCTAATAATGCTCTTGTCCACAGTACGGAGACAACACCCACACACTGGTGGACAGGTCCAAGTATCGCGGACCCTTCCTCCCAGGATACCAACTGTTGAACAGTGACCCTATCAACAAATTCCTGTAAGTTGCAGTTGATATTAAATCTTTATTTTGCAGTTTAATACATAGGTAACAAAAGAAAGAAAAAAGGAGATACTTTATTTCACGCTAAAAAACAAGTGACATATGTCACATCATCAATATCAATACATCAATACATAGTATAAAACAAAGTCGCTTTCGCTGTATGTCCGTATGTATGCTTAGATCTTTAAAACTACGCAACGGATTTTGATGCGGTTTTTTTTAATAGATAGAGTGATTCTTAAGGAAGGTTTGTATGTATAATACATGCATATTGCACCCGTGCGAAGCCGGGGCGGGTCGCTAGTACATAATATGTACAAATTTGATCTATTGGTAGTTAATAATCAGAAATCAATTTTATTATCTTCGTTTTACTATTAAGTATTTAATCATTTAAATGCAGGTTTGTTGAAATGTATGTACCAACATCTAGTTAAAGTTCATGAAGCTCTAAGAGTTTACTATGAATTTATTTAGCATAAAAATCGATAGTTTATATAGTTTGATAAATAAACGTAAAGCACTTACCTATAATGTTTCTGCCACAGACCAAAAGTGGAGATCAGATTCATAGACCACGTAGTGGGCAACCAACCTGACGGAGGAATGGAGGAGGCGGCCTCCTGGTACGAGAGGTGTCTGCAGTTCCACAGGTAATAAACACGCAAACTGTTTGTAAAAATCGACCGAAACCGGCGTATTGCACGTACTTTAGATTTGTTTTGATCAGTATTGAGGCAGAGTAGGTACTGAAAATTTTGTTCCGCTTGTCCACTGCCGTTAATCGATCAATAGTGTAGGAGAGCCATGCTTAGACACAAATGGGCCGGCTCGACCAGAGTGATACCACGGCCTCACAGAAACCCAACGTGAAGCAAAGCTTGCGTTGTGTTTCGTCGTGTGAGTGAGGTTACCGGAGACCTAATTACCCTACTTCGCAACCCCCGACAATCCTCAAATTTCTAGTCCCCAAAAGGCCGGTAACGCCCTTGTAACGCCTCTGGTTTTCCGGGTGTCCATGGGCGACACCGATTGCTTACCATCAAGTGATCCGTTTGCTCGGTTACCGGCTTATCCCATAAAAAAAAAATAAACTAACTAGGTAGCCTATCTCCTCATTGAGATTTGCTTCTTATGATTTCTAAATCGAGAAACCCCATCATGTAGATATCAAGTAGGTACTTACTCTATCAAGAAGAAGCAAAGAGGCATATTCATATCATGCATAGAGAAAAGAAAAATAGTAATCAATCTTCTTCTATATTAACTTATACAACTATCCTTTTCAAGATTCTGGTCGGTGGACGACAAGCAGATTTGTACAGAGTATTCAGCTCTTCGATCCATTGTGATGGCCAATTGGGAGGAGACGGTGAAGATGCCTATCAACGAGCCTGCGACTGGCAAGAGAAAAAGTCAGATCCAGGAGTATGTGGAGTACCACGGCGGAGCTGGAGTGCAGCACATTGCTATTAACACTGAGGATATTATTACTGCTGTAAGTAGAAGTTTTTAGGTGGCTTTTTTGGTTCGTTTCAAATACATACCTTGTTCTTTGACCTCAAATTGTATCCATCAAGCAGTCCTATAATAGTAAAATTACCATGTAAAAAAAATAGTATAATGTTTAGTTCTTTGTAAACCAATATAATGATGAGGACCTAGGCCATCATCTAATTGGGAACTATTGGAAGATCACGGAGAGACAATAACAAAAGAATTGAAGGACCATTTTTTACTATGGTATTGGCCTATTTTGCGCGGGCCTGCGGACGGCGAGCATGGGTGGCTCCCCGTCCGACCAGAAACAGACCCGAACGTAATGCGCGTTGCGTTCCCGCCTCACCCAGGCGGGAGCAGTAATTCGATGATTTTCCCCCAATAAAAAAAAAATTGGCTTATTTTCGAAATAACCGTTCTAGGTTATACGTTCTTTTTAACGCCAAAAACCTTAGTCCTATACCAACATGCTTTAATTGCAAGATGAAATCATATATTTTAACGAGCAATTCTTATTTTCCAGATTGAAAATCTCCGCGCCCGCGGTGTAGAATTCCTCTCCATACCTTCGAAATACTATAAGCTGATCCGTGAACGTCTCCAACATAGTAAAGTGAAGGTGGCTGAAAGTATAGACGAGTTGGAGAGGCTGAACATCCTGATAGACTATGATGATGATGGCTACTTACTCCAGATCTTCACCAAGAACACTCAAGACAGACCGACTCTTTTCCTGGAAGTTATTCAGAGGAGAAATCATAACGTAAGTACCTAATATTTTTCCAGAAGATTCTTTGAAAGACTTGTTGAGGTTGGCAACACAATAGCGATCAAGTAAAACAAATGTACAAGTAATTTTCTTTTTTTTAAACATGTTAAATTGGTTAAACAAGTACCTAATGCTGTAAATAACTTTTTAAAATCATTTTATTCTGAGCCAAGTCTTATGAATAAAATTTCCTGCTGTTGCGTAGCGTTTTGATGTCTTACTACCAGTGGTGTTAAGTCTTTGAATGTCTCGTTGGGCGAGTGGTCGCATGTGCGACTGCCGGGTAAGGGGTCTCGGGTTCGATTCCCGGATCGGGCAAAGGATTACTGGGTTTTAAAAAATACTCAGTAGTAGCACGGAGTCTTGAATTGTGCCCGGTATATGACAATAGGCTCACTCCCCTTTACATGGGACGCATAACATAAGTAAATACATAGTGAAAAGTGGGTGTTACATTGTACAGTGGCATTAAGTGCCATAATGTGCACCTCTTCCTACCCCTTCAGGGATAAAAGGCGCAATGTTATGTTAATTATGTGTTTTGTTATATTTCGAGTGTTTTGTTTATACTCTACGAAAGAACTTAATAGACAGAATTTTAGATAGTAGATGTTTCGGGTCTGGGTGCCATTGGGTATGTGAACTTATATGTTTGTAAACGCACCCACCCACGATACAAGAGAAAATCCTAGTATGGGGCAACTTTTTTAACAAAAAAAAAAAATCTATTCTGCCAAGTGGTAACCAATTTTTTTTTACAGGGATTTGGCGCTGGCAACTTCAAGACACTATTCGAATCTATCGAGTTGGAACAAGAAAAGCGCGGGAATCTATAAACTGATTACTTACGTAGGAAATATTATTTTGTACTCCTTGTTTGCCATATTACATTAGTATACAGCATACAATATGTCTTTAAATTCATTTTCGATAAAAATAAAAAAAACAACTAAATACTCCTTGGATTGTGCCATAAACAATTATGGTACTATAGATTTGATTTTTTTTAAACATATTGTATGCAAATTTAATTCTATTTTTAATCTTATATTTACTATTATAAGACGAACCATGTTAACTTTTTAAGATGTTAAATGTAAATAAAAAACACATTTGAAAAGAGTATCATTTATTGAAATACCGTTGATTAACATGATACAGCTCGTTTAAACGCCTATATCACGAGCCTATGTATGTATATTTACAAAACACATGAAACCGTGAAAAAACAAATGCACATAAAATCGAAAATGTCGCGTAAATTCGATACGCGAAAAATAAATATTCCATTATTCACAAATTTGTAGACAGCACCAAAATATTTAAAAGCCGGATGGACCGGTTTGATAAACGAAAATAATTCTTATGCCATTCATTAGAAATTTTAATTTTTAATAAATTTTACGCAATTTATAACCTTATTACTAAGTTGAATATGTATCATAAGACTAAACGTTTGATTGACTTGCTCGATTGAATTTAAAGTTGATATTCGTGAATTTTTTGTATGAGATGTGAAAATATGTGTAATAAGTGAATGCGGAAGACTATCTAGGGCTTCTAGAATCCTAAAGGAATGTATTGTAATGACAGTGATAACCTAATTTAGTTATTATTACAGGACAATAAACATCATTTTCGTATATCAATCCGTCACAACAGTTCCGAATCACAAAACCCGACGGACATACATATATAACAAACGTTAATAAAATGTATGCAAAAGTAGCACATAATTGAATAAATACGGCGTAATTACACCCTTTATATACCAGCCGAATATTTACGAAGTTTGCCGAAACACTTCGGAAGTTTTCGCCACGACACTTCGGGTTGCGCTCGAGTGGAAACGACAAGCTTCGGCAACACTCGGCATGAGATTAGGGCGCATTCATACTAACATAGAACTGAAGCTATAATTTGAAATACCACATAGCAAATTGACTCATAATATGTGCAACGTAAAGTACATATTCCTTCAGATTTAAAACTAGCTAATTCAAATACTCGCGAATTCGAATCGAAGTCTTGTTTGAAGGAATATATTTCTTATCGCAGATAACGTTAACTTTACAGTGACTAACGAGAGAGTAGAGATTAACGCTTCAACTCTGCGCTAGTATGAATTGACCTTTAGGATGATAATTTAATTATAATTCGTCTAAAACCCTTTACGTCACAAATCTCTTTGATTTATAATAACTACATTCACATTTATCATTCGTCCTCAGTTATTCACTAACAAAATATGAATGATACAATGCAAATCAAGATTTTTAATACATGACTGATTTCCGTAACTAAATTATATAATTTTGAGCTTGCGTCGTGTGTAAGCCGGTAATACTAAGTTAATTATTATAAAAATGTGTTATATCTTCGTGGTAGTTAATAAAATCAGTCATTTGCAAGTCAATTAATGTTCCACTTCAGATCTCTTTACAATATTTGGTATTACCACAGATTTTTACTGCAAATGGTATTTTAGATGGGAATTCAAATGCTAAAAATAGCACGTATATTATATGGCGTAGATTTAGCGGAATTTATCGAGTGAAGCTGAACAAATAGAGGTTCCTAATTGTAACTATCTGCGTTAAAAAGCTACAACTCCGCTAAATCCAGCGTTTCCCCGAATGTTAGTGAAACTATTAGCAATTTTACATCACTAACCAAAAATGCGTTATTCGCTTATTGTAGCGCACATCTTAAATTGGATAAGTGACAATACTCGTACACAAATACTCGGAATTTAACCTAACGTAACCTAACTGTCTACAGTCTCTGGTAAATGAGTAATCACGTGGGTACATTTATAAGGTAATAAGGAATAAAAATAATAAATTAATGTATGTATAAAGTAATTTATTTAAATTAATTATTATCATCATCGCATCACCGTCTACGTTTCAAGTATGGAAGACAAAACATATAAAGACGTCACCAAATTCTGCGTACGCACATAATTACGTTTTTAAACAAACAAAAAAATAAAACTAGAGCTCAAATAAATCATAATAAAATTATAATATCATGAAATTATTACATAATCAGATTTAAATAGTCGAGTTTTTACATACACGAATTTGAAATAACCGATCAGAAGTTTGCGCAACTTTGCGCATGTTTGCGCTGTTTTGCGCAAATCCCTTGTCTGAACCATACAAACGTACCCACAGTGATCTCGTACATTCCTCTCTTACGCGTTATCATCTCGATCTGGCTCTAGATCTGCTGGCTCTACTATCTCAAAGTCCCTATCCGTGGAGGAACGTTGACTGTTCTCAGATTCGGACTCCGATTGTTTGTCTGCTGGAGGCGTTGGTGTTTCTAATTCAGATCTGAAAAGAGACGGAGATACTTTATTGTTTTGTTTATTATTTTAATTAGACGAACATGTTAATTGTTATGAAGTAATATCAGACACTGAAAATAAGGTTATTCGATTCATGATCGAGTTAAGATTCTAGAAGCTTAACGCACATTATGGTTTTTTACTAATGTGTAGCTGTTAATCAAATTTTAAAATTACAAGCCGTGAATAGAGAAGCTTTTTTCGTATATACGTTATAAATGGGACAATGGCGCCAAAATTCACAGATTTTCATTCATATAACGTATAAACTTACTTGGTGTCAATAGCAGCATCGTCACTGGTGGTGACGGCAGTGTGAGCAGTGCTGGTTCCCTCGCTGGCTTCCTCACTAGCCTTCTCCTCCAGCAATGGCGTCTTCTCACTCTCATCATCAGACAACTTGTCTTTCTTCCGTTTCTTCTTATTCTTGGACGATTTGTCCGAGTCTGCACCCGGGCGGTATTCGTACTGTAATGTTTTAATAGATTATATTAGAATACATGTCTTGTATAAAAAGGAAACTTCTGCATTTCTGTTGTGCCCTAAATGGCAGTTGTCTTCCACCAAAGATTATGGGCATTAACTTCGAAATGAGAAACATTGTAGGCACAATATTTTAGACTAAACATAAAATGAGTTGAATTAAATAAAGCTTACGAATTTAAATAAAACTAAACGTAACTATAAATATTACTATAATTATGTTTTGTTGAGGGGGGGAAATCATCAAACGACTCTTCCCGCCTTAGGGGAGGTGAGAGGGGGCGCCAGACTTTTGTCGACTTAAAACAACCCCGTTACAACTCCCGCTTCGACCCGGAGCGCCGGTAACAATAGCTGTTGTATGACTTTATGGAAAAAGAAAAACAAACTAGGGTGTTCAAATTATAAAAATTCAGCTCAATCGGAAAACTAACCTTTAACGTGCAATATTGGATTACAAACAACTAGCCAACGGCAGAGGTGTTACTAAATAAAACGCCCAAATATAAAACGGAGGAGGCCCAATTACCCTACGCGATCTCCCAAAACCCCGAATTCTCAAATTCCTAACCCCTAAGGCCGTCTCTGGTGCTTCAGATGTCTATGGGCGGCGCTGATTGCTTACCATGGTGATCCGTCAGCTCGTTTCCCGGCTTACCCAATAAAAAAAAAACAACTTACTTTATACAGCGGCCAGAATGAAGCGAAGAATCCGACATCTTCAGTGAGGTTGGGGAGTAGCCAGAGATGGTGTCTTGACAGGGTCAGCATCCAGACGAGACAGAATACCACCACTCTTAGCACGGTCAAACCTATGATCGTTACAAGGAAACCGGCGGCCGCGATACTCAGGTAATAAACCCCTTTACTGTGGAGATAATCCCTGATTTATATTTATGATGTAACCCGGTAGTTGGCGAAAAGGGGGTGCTATATTTTATTTATACAAAAAACAAGTTTTAACTGGGTGTTTCTTCAAAAAACTTTAACTTTTATTTAACAAATCATTATCCTCCCGCGTTGTTAAGCATCGCAGTAACTTATTAGCATCTGTATTTTATTGCATTGGGTGAGCAGAGACATGGCTCAATTTTTTGAAACTAAACTTTGTATTTTAATCAGCAAAATTGTTAACTGTGGCTTGAGGATAATGACGCCGTAAATTTTTTGGAGATTCACCCAACTACGTGTGAATGTATGTCAAGTCTCATTTTCTGTTCTTTCTTTCTTATAGTATGATTTTCTTTAAGAATTATTAATAGGGGGGAATATTTGATCCGAGATTTATTAATAACATCGAAATGCATTTTTTAAATTTTTAATTAACTTTTCTTTTAAATAAATTGTGATCAATAAAACTTACACTTAAATATTTCAATGAGAATTATAGTCATAAAATGTACGAGAACCTGGTTTGGATCTCGACTTTGATCAGCCTGTTTTTATGGCACATAAAGACTACATACAAAACAAAAAATAAACATTCTTAAAAAAAAAAACACAGACAAAGACAGAACAGAAAAGCACAAACATTAAAGACGTAACAAAAATTGAAAAATTCTACTTAAAAAAAGAATTTGACCAACAAAAAATAGACTGTTTCCTAATTAAAATAAAGTATAAATTCTTACCGCACTGTAGCTGGCCACAAGGGGAACATACAAACGGTGATAGTCCCAACAACTACCAGTATACCACACAGCCAATAGTACCAGGGTTTTGGATCGTAGATCCAGACATACGCGTCAAGAGTGTCCAAAAATACTTGATCCATGTGCATCTCTAGGCGAATTTTCCGCTTCTTTTTTTCTTTTTCTTTTGTGTCTTTTGAGTCCTGGAAATAAAATAATATCACATCATCACGCCTTTTATCCCCGAAAGAGTAGCAGAGCTACACATTGCGGCACTTAATGCCACTGTACAATGTAACACCCACTATTCACTATTTATGTTATGAGTCCCATGTAATAGGGGGTGAGCCTATTGCCATATACTGGGCACGAGTCCAGACTCCGTGCTATTACTGAGAATTTTTTAAAAAACCCGGCAGTACTTTGCTCGACCCGGGAATCGAACCCGAGACCCTTTGCCCGGCAGTCCCATTTATGACTACTCGGCTAACGAGGCAGTTTTATAAATCTGATCAGGGCTTTTAGCCAAACGCCACTTTAGCGCTTGTCTACAGAGAGAGTAGAAATCAAAATGTATGGGGATGACAAGGGTCAAAATTTAAGTCAATAACATATAATTTAGTTTTCTATTCTACATGTAGACAAGCACTAAATGGCATTTGGCTATAACTGCTGGATATTATGGCCAACCTTTCTTTTGTACTGGAGGATCACAGAATAGTCTTTCTTGCTGTTTTACAACAGTTAGGTTATAGTAAAAGCATAGGCTTTTACTAATAGGAGGAAATAATAGTATTTCCTTTAATAATAATTACGTGGCTTCTCTTACCTTTCCTTCACAAGCGCTGGCCTGACTCTTCTCACCATCTTTCTCATCTCCACTTTTGCTTGATTTTTCCAATTCTTTCTTTTTAGATTTTCCCTTTAATTCTTGTTCTGTAACCGGAACCTGAAATAAGATTTATTTATTTGTCTTAAATATGGTGTTTTACAGATTTTACAGCATAACAATAGTTCATCATATCCCGCCTATTAAAACATGCATATATTTTAACAATAAGTACCCAAAAATATGATTCAAAAACTAAACAAAATAACTAAACTAAAATTTCTGATAGGTAATGATTTTAAGTTGGGACAAAACAATCAAATTACAATTTCATAACAATTCCAAATTAAAACAAAACAAATTAAGTTACAATTCCTAATAATCACTCCGATTAAAAAAAAATTAAACTATAATGTTAGTAAATTGGTTTATCAAGAATTGACAAAGAGGAAAAAAAAACAAAATTACAATCTCTACAATAAAAAAAAATTCATTTGAATTATAAATTGGCGCCAAATTAACTGTCAATTAAGTTCACCATTCAATCAAGAACGAATGAAATGAACGACTTTAACCCCAAACACGTGGTAGAAATTAATCAGTCATTTGTCTTTCTCAATTTATTACGGACACGTAATATTTAGCTTCATTATCTAAGTGTTTATCAGTTTTATAACATTAAATACGAAACTATATCAAGGTCAGACTATTGTAAAACGTAGTTCAAGCAACAATGTTCTAAGTTCAATCTCATATTTTGTGTAGGAATTAAAGACGTTTTATCTTTGAAATTTAATTGTAATCATAAGTATCTGTGTTTAATATTGTATAGATTTTTTGTCAAACTTATGTTGAATTGTACTTATATGTTGGTTTGAGTTTTCTTCGAATCATGTGAGTGTAGAAAAGCTTTTCAATAAGATGTTTAATGCATTTATATACTTCTTAAACCTACAACTTTTTATCAGCTTTTGGGGTTTAAGAATTTGAGGATTTAGGGATTGGGGAGAGGAGTAATTGGGCCTCCGGTAACCTTACACGATGAAACACAACGAAAGTGTTGTTTCACGTCGGGTTTTTGGGAGACCGTGGTATCACTCCGGTCGAGCCGGTCAATTCATGCCGAAGCTTGGCTCTCCCACACCTTAAAGTTACGCCACTGGTTGGGAGCACAGAAAAGGAAATAGGCAAAGAGTAAAGTACAAACCTTTTTAGCTCGGTGAAATAATTTGTGCAATAACATCTGATGCAGGTAGTCTGTGACTTCATGTCTTGTAGTAAAAATTGGGTTTTTACCAGTAGCCCATTTTGAAGTGAGAAGCGCGTCCACCGCTTTCGTCCCTGGAAAAATAAAATAGAACCTTATTATTGATAGAAAGAGATATGAAGTTGTGTATTTTGTTAAATGACGAAGCATTTTCTAATTAAAGTTCTAAAGTAGTTTAAGACTTTAAAGTTACATGCACGAAGTATGATTGTGGCTTGTGGCCAGTCATAAAGAAATGTTACTTTGACGAGAAAGTTTCCAGTAAAGTCACATGTCGGACTTGGGCGTAATTGCCAATTTTCGAGTGACACTAAAATCAAAATAATTTTCGCCACGTTAATTTTATATTTCAAAAAGCGTAGACGTGCTAAAATCCATTATCAAATCCCAGTTGATCGGTCCATAAAAACCTTCATAGTCCTCCATTGAGCAAAACCAATACTAAGTCGATTACAGATAAACCAACTACTATCAATCAATCGATAGTTCGAGAACATTTGAAGGCATTGTGCCGGTTGCGGGTCAATGATCTACTACAAAGAAAGTGTTATAGAATGCCTACGACAGACATTCTGACCTACATTCGCGAATTGATTCATAAATACGTATTCTTTAAAGTTAATGTGCGTGTTTAAAGTGTAGTAAAATATGAGTTTAGTGAACAATAATGGATTTTGATCCTTGAAGAGATAGGTCAGGAGAATATTTAATGTGACAACTATTTTCCTTCAGGTATTTTATGAGTGCTATGTAAAACGTGGTCGTGGTGGCCCGGAGGTTTTAGACGCCCGCTTCTCATACATGAGACTTTTAACTTTTACCGAGCTATATGTACTTCCTAATATGATCTAGACACCGCTGACAATCGGTGAAGAAAACATCGTGAGGAAACCTGGGCTTATAATTTCTAATTATAAGTTTGAAATCGCCTACCCGTATTGAGCAAGCGTATTGATTAATGCTGAAAACTTTTCCGTGCGAGAAGAGGTGTTTGTGGCCACTTATAGGCTGTTGATGATGATGTAAAAGGACTCCTATGCTTTACCTAAAGGTCGACTGTAAAGGGGTTATCTAAAGCATTAAGTGAGCCTGTACATACATTTTGCATTAAGTTTTATAAACCAATAAAACGACTAAAAGTCTGTGGCAGTACCATGAACAATTTTAGTATCCGTGGTTTAACTACTAGTGCGCAACCTAGAATTTTGACAATGAATTCGATTCACTCGAGTAGTCAGTCAGTTCAAGTCGTATGACACTAGTCGCGGAGAACCTAACGGGCAACCGGGGCTCCGGCTCAACGTGCAGGGGAAGGAACGGGGTGGTTTTTAGTCAGTAAGAGTCTGACGCCCCCTTCCGCCTCACCCACGCGGTAGCAGTCATTCCATGATTTTCCCCCCTTAAAAAAAGTCGTATGACACTTTCCAAACAAATTCCAAGTCTTTATTTAGACAATAGAAAAACCTACGTTTAAATAAAACTTGAGGTACAGTATCATATCAAAATTTACTGGAGGTCATTCGAAATGTGAAATTACATGAACTTTCCTATCTGATCGATGTATAATGCCCTCTGAAACGACCTTGAATGTCGACCGTGACCTTGAACGCTAAGGTCGGACAACAAAACGGGCAATTGATGGCCTCACCTAAATATTTCAATTGATATTCTTATGAACGAATACTTTAGTGACAGATTTATTTAGCTTTTATTTATATTTTACAATATTGACTGACAGAAGGCAATCTAGAAGAATGTATGATAGATGCAGATGGAACTTCTGAAGGTGTCTATGCCATCTGATAGTCAAATAAAATACGTTATCAACTTAACATCACGTGTTACATTGTACAGTGGCATTAATTGCCGTAATGTGCTCCTCTGTCTATGCCTTTTTTATGGCATAAGCCGGTAAACGAGCACACGGATCTGCTGATGGTAAGCAATCGGCATCGCCCATGGCGTTACACGTGCGTTACCGGCCTTTTGGGGATTAGGAGTTTGAGGATCGTTGGGGATTCAGGGATTGGGGAAATTGGGGAAGGAGAAGGTAATTGGACCTCCGGTAACCTCACTCACACGACGAAACATAACGCAAGCGTTGCTTCACGTTGGTTTTCTATGAGGCCGTGGTATTACTCCGGTCGACCCGGCCCATTCGTGCCGAAGCATGGCTCTCCCACATTTACATAGATTTATAAGAAATTATTAAACTTTCTCACATAGTTCAGATTGGTAGAAAATTCTTGACTATGTAGTCTAATTTCCATACTTTCGGGCCTCTGACTACAAAATAATTTCATTATCTGATAATGTCACCATATAGTCAACCAATCAGGATGAACGGGCAGAACGAAACCTATTTTTAAACACCACCAATAAGAGACCTGGCCGAAAATAAACGGAATATAAAATAAATAAAAATAGAAAGCAGTCCATGAGAGAATTCCTTCGATATTTACAAAGGTACGCTTTATTACGGCGGAAGCTTGGGACGAGAGCACACAGCAAAGGAAATGCAGCTACGTAGCTTGGACTTGGCAATACGCCACATCGCATTGGAAATTGTATAAATATTTCCATTAAAATATTGTCTTGATTTCAGTGGGCATGATTTGTGGTTTTTGGTACACCGTATTTAGTGTTACGGAGATTAAAATCAGGTTGTTACAATACTGCAAAAACTGTATCAGTAATTATCTGTTCATCGCAAGTCACAACGAAAAGCTTTATGCTCTCCAAGAATTAATTTATAATAAATCTCTTTATCCTTACAAACAGATTCATACTTCGTGGACAAACTTTCCTTAAGAACTACTCAACTTATCCATTTGTAAAAACTGTTTAAAAATCCGTTTACTATTTTATGAGGTTGTCGTAAATAAACAAACGCTGCAGGGAATTTTTGCTTTATAACATGTAAACATTCGAACAGTTCACTTTTCAAATTCAAATATCAAACGTCTAGTCTATGACATTGTAACATCGATCGTTATGTCTGCCAGTAATTACCCTTTGATATACCATGTCATAAGATATTCAACAATAACGATTATGGGGTAAATTCCTTACATTATATTGTTCGACTTGAGAACATTCGAGTTTGTTTTGGAGAAATAAAATTCTACTACTGTAGAAATATCTACACTTTCTCAGAATCTCGTCCACCATATTAGTTTTAAATATTTCAAAGCTTGAATGACATCATTACTTTCAGGACAAATAAAGGAAAGGTTAAATAATGCCAAATAATCTAAGATTGGTAGATTACCAGAACGTCTACATACATTATACCGTCTTGGTATTGGGAATGGCATATTGTAGGTGACCTTTAGAAAGTGTAGGAGGTCTATTTGTACCCTAGTATTTATTGTGGACAGAAGTATTAAATGTTAGAATAATATTGATAGGTAATACAAAAGTTAGATAAGGTTTAGGGTATCTTTACCTAGATGCTTCGGTTCAACCGAATTATTGGCATTTATTAGTTTAAGAACGCAACCCTTAGTCATTATTTATGACTGTGTTAGGCGCCATATTGTCTAGGGTAACGCTACTCGAGTTCGCGCCATTTTGCATTCTGGCTCTGTTTGAACACCTTTGTGTGAAAGTATGATTCAGCCGCGTTGCAAGCGCAGAGAAGAATACATTATCGGAATCCCTTATCTTCTTCTGGAATTCCTAGAAGTCGAAAGAGGGACTACACATTTAATAAAGATTGGGCAGGAGCGGTCTCTGATAAACCAGAACCATTATTCTGCCTGTAAGAAAGGGAAACCATGGAAAGCATTAATGGCAAACCCCTCTTACTTAGATGAGCATAGTTTAGGAGTGAACTGTCATACTCTGATGATATTAATATAAATGTATCAAATTGACTCAAGAGCAAAACAAATATAACAATCAACTTACCGGTAAAGTATTCCACATGGTGGTTCAGGAATTTCGTCTTTTTCGTAGGAACATTGGCTTTAAGCCATTTTGCAACTGCATACTCTTCGCTAGTGGCCTTTTCTGACTCAGCCACCTCTCCGAACTCCTAGAAATTATGTGAATCTTGCATCAGTATTGTTTTAAACATGTATTAGAAAGATGTGCATTGTGCATCGATAGTATTAAGGTTAGCAGAAAATGTAGTAGGTAGAGGACAATCAAAGTGGTTCATTTTGGTCATTTCATTGATTATTATGTTCTTTGCAAATAAAGACACTGTTTCATATTATTATTGTCTTTCTTAAGTAAGTCGAAACCACGTGGTTGGATCTTTCATTTCTGCGGGTCTATTACCTGTCAGTGTAAGAGGATGTCAATTCAGTTCTTTTGGCATACATAAATGAAAAAAAAAATGTGTGGGGCTTAGTAGTTCGAGGCACATACTTAAGTAAATCTTTTGTCAATGTTATACCCTAATATTTTTTTAAACTTTAATGCTGCATCGAAGAGTTTGGTTCGTACTTTATTTAATTCCCTATTCTCATATTCTGTCGAAACCACTACGTATGATTTACAAACAGCACCAATCCAATTTTCAAGAATTTTGATGAAAATGAAGCCATTGAATAACACCTTAATTTACAGTTACATATTGTAAGGCGTATAATCAGTTATTTATATAACAACAAACAATGAAGGTATTGTGTATTATTGTAGTGTTTAACGATGGCTGTGACGTCATTGTCATAAACGTGGTTTGTTGGAAGACTGTTATTCATGGCCAGTTGTAAAATTGATTTCGTAGATACAATATTATCGAATTCTGTTTGAAACTTAACACAAAACATGTTTTTTTCCACCAGTAAGAATTTTGGGATACCCTTTCAAAGGCCCCAATGCTACCGAAGAAAAAAAAATGCGAAGCCGAATGCCCCACAATGTTGTTTAACAAAATGGCAGTACACAGATAGGCAGGGTCTAGTTTTAATGGAATTATTTTTTTCGAACGACCGCCAAACATTGTTTTCAGGATACTTGGTTAATTAATTTGAGTCATAAAATTCAAGCTAAAAACTTATCCGTTAACTTTGAAGTAACATTGTAGTCCATACTTCCTTTGTTGTCGTATTTTTACAAAATGGCGTGAGCTCAACGACATCCAAAATTCTACCTGGCATTTTTTCTTTGTTACAAAACGCAAACGACAACGAATTGTAATAATAAAGACCTATCCCAACTAAACTTGAAACTTTCCCTTTCAAAATTGTTCGCTTGTTCTAAGTTCTAACTGTATTTGAACCGAGACGCGTGAGCGCCATTTAAATTACCGTTCCATTTTCAAACAGCGCGCGCGTTCTTTATTTCTTTTTTTTTATTTGATACCATTCAGTATGAATAGAATAAAAGCAGTTTATCTTTTTTGCTTTCTATAAAAAAAAAAATCGATGGGGCACAAAGCCCCATGCAATCTGAAACCATTGATCGACATAGATGACAATTTAGCCGTGTTTTGGGGACGACTGGGGCGCTTTATGGTCCAAAAAGTCTATGTATTTAAAGGGAACCGAAATTCGCTTTCATGCAAATTCGAGGCGTGCGCTAGTTATAAATACAACAAGGATTAGCCCGATAATTTCAAATATCCAAAGACACAACATTATTTTATTACTTTTTTAAATGATATATTCAATTAAAATAATTCTGTACATCTGTTCATTTGTGTATGTATGATAATCGTCACGATTTTACACTAAGTAATGGGTTTGACCTTCGTACTTAAATACATGCATTACATATCTCCTGTGCGCGACTTTATCATAAATCATTAGCTGCTACAATATAAAATTATTGCGTTTATCTTCAAAAATTGTATAAACGTTACTGACAATCTCTTTGTTTTGAAATTTAGGAACGATCTGAGATATTTTGGTAGAACCTAGGACGAAATGAAGTTCATTTTGCTTAAATTAAATAATTCAGTACTGAGATAATTGTATAATTGAATGCAGTACTCATTATTTCTTAGCGACTCAATAGGGGAATAATCTTTCTATTGCGTTATTAATTGCACAACTTTTGTCAATAATTTGAGATCGAAATTACAAATCTAATAAACAAAAAGCAAACAGAATAAAATTATTTACTTACAATAACAAAAACAGATACATAAATCTCCACACATTAAATACAGGTGTAAAAAAATCGGCGCAAGCGCACGTCTGATGCGAAAACATCGTTATGGACGTCACGCAAATACGTAGTACCGTGGCCATGACTTGGCCTTGTTAATGAACTAGTAAACTGTGTCTATCTAGTAATCTAGATACACCTACGATACAGGAAGATAGGAGGATGAATGGATGACGTCCAAACGTAGCGGATGTTTGGATGTCTCAAAGTGAAAGAAACAATGAAAACATACGTTTCAGGATATAGAATAGAATAGTGACTTATTCGTGCGTTCTACTCAGTCGAAATTAAAAGGAAAACGTATTAAATATTAATATTGGAGAGGCCTATGTCCAGCAGTGGACGTATACAGGCTGATGATGATGATGATTAACAGGGTATGTTTGTAAAAACAAAATGGATGTAAACAAAAACAAACAAACAAAATGGTTCCCGAGTTAGTTAATTATAGGCTTCGACAAAAAAAAATAGTCTACCACGTTACTGTTGCGCGATACGATTCCTTTGTGCGTTTTTTCTGAACATTGCTACACATTAAGACTGACCTTATTACAAAACGTAATTTCTAGGATTAAATCCTTTATTTTAAAACCATTTAAGTTTACAATCCTGTACTAAAATTACACCAAACTCACTGGTTTATACACAAACACAACACAGTCGGCTAACCGAGACCAAAACACCGTTATTCACACACGTTTTCATACATTAAATACTAGAATCATAACATTTTAATATAAAATAGAACTTACAAATTCTCTCATGGCTAAACACTGCTTCGCAAGCAACAGTTCGAACTGTAGTGACAGTTATGAGGCTAGTAGTAGAAGACGGGTGAAAGTGGGCCATCGGCCCATGGAACAAATTAATGGGAAACATTGCCAACCATTTGAAAATAAGCAAAAATAAAATATATCACATTAGAAATGTGTGGACTGTTCTAGAAATTGTATAGTGAATATTGGACGTACCTTTTATCAAATATAAAATGAAAAAAGTAATTTGACCGTCTATATAACATTCTTTGTCCGTGTTCGGATGTTATCGTCGCGGGTGAATTCAGCAACATTATATTTTGGGGGGAATTTAAAAATGTAGTGTAAGTTGCAAAGAAAGGCCTTTGGATTGGTGTACCATTAACAGGATATTATAGTTATTTCAGGACAAGATTTCAGTAAGTGATACTTTCATTAAATAAGCAAATTGGCACAGATATCTGCAAACAGGTAAGACAATGGCGACAGAATAAATATAACAAATCAAGCAGTTAATAGTATGGAAAGGCTACGTGGTGCACTGATAGGAAAATTGGAAAAGAAAAATTTTCTCGTATTTTAAAACGCTAACAAACTAGAATCAAGCAAAACCGATGATATCAACAATTGTCGAGTATTATTATATGGCATCACGGTCAATTGGACTCGCTCACTCGTATTGTAAAGCAATTTCAGTACTAACAACTGCTGTTCTATAAAAATGCATTGCATTGTCGAAGAAACTACGCGATTCAGACTTTCCAAAACGAATAGAGATGAACATAATTAGGCAAATGTCCTTTTTTGCTCCTAATCCGTTCCAAATCCTTACGCATGGCTTTGGATATCCGTTTCAGGAGTTTAAAAACGCTTGCTAAATAAATCCAAATGTTTATTTTATTTTCGCCGAAAAAAGTCGCCCGCTTGACAATCCCATTTACTTCAGCCCCAAAAATGAGGATTAATGTAGATAGCGTGTCGTGAAAAATGAGCCGAAATAGGGGTCATATTGTACTAAACGTTGAAAAAGAATGGGGTCTAATATACTTTCATTGCATTTATTTATTTGATCGCTTACATATGGCGAGTGAATTACATTTACATATAAAGTACCTAGGTATGCGTCAAAAATTAACACCAGCCAAACGTCGACCGTGGTAATCACCTATGGACGTAATCGTTACGGTTGAGAAACTATCATTTAACCGAATACATAGTTGATAAAAATTTACAACACGAGGTTCGGACTTTTTAGAAAATCTATTAAACATAACA